CTCACTGTGCCAGTATTATACACTTAATGCGATTCTGCCGTAATGACACACTGCCCGGTGTCGGTCCAGTTTTGCGTGAGAAACTTGATATATCTACAAACTGACTTTCGTTCCAATATTATATATTTTTATTAGGCATAGTCATTACTTCAAAAAAACTATAGTTGCGTAGGGCAATTTCGGACGATTTTAATTTATAACAGCATCTTTCGTTATTTATTCTCTTTTTTATCTATTTATTTAGTCCTTTTTGTTATATTCTCTTTATTTATTTATTTATTTCCTCTTTTTCGTTTTCGTTGTTTCTTTGTTTCTTTGTTCTTTTATTCAGATAACGATTTAAAGAATATGTGTATGTTGTGCCAAGAAAAAACTCATAAACCAAATGCAATAATAGCAATGATAAGCTAATTTAACCAATATTTGCGACAAGTTTTCAAATCATTATTTAATACGGGATTATTTTCTAAGTTCATCTCAACTATTAACTTCCGTTGGCGTTTCAAATTTAAAAGCAAACGAGTCTCTTACAGTAATCGCCTTTTGCCGCTTGCTTCTTGCCATTTGCATAATATATTACACGTGAATTAAACCTTAATGAACACACTTTCAAGTTACACGTAACATGTATCGACTTTTTGTGCATAATAACCAAATTAACAGCATCTCACTTACAAAGATACTTCCTTAATCTGAGTCGGCTATGTTCTTCGTATTACCGAATCATTTTACGTAGCTTACGTGGAGACAAAGATGAAAGAAAGCGGGGAAAAGAGGAAGAGAGAGGAAACACAGATGTACATACGATTAATAATATAAAAGAATTGTCGGAAGCGCGTGACGCAGGTGGCGGGCGCAAAGTCCACGTGTTTGTCCTTCTTTTAGATAACAGGAACTGTTATCAGTAGTAAGTTTCATGACAAACTATTTTACACTCCTAGAATAGTATTTTTATTAAGAGAATAAGGGGATGCGCATCAGTTTTTCTTGACTCTTCCGTATCTTTCTCGTCTCTTAAGCGAATCGCATCGCGTATATACACTTTACATATACGTATATAATAATATATTATTATATTACATCACACACCGATTGGAGATCGATAGGCGAACACCAGTTAGTGGTCAGTGATCAAAACTTTGAGTGAGCATAATAGCTATTAATTAATTTAATAGTTCTAGCGAGTCAATCTTTGACACGATCTTTCCGATTCTTCTCCGAACGGTATTTGGGGGAAACATAGTCTTTAGAACATCGATCATAATACGAACTCGTAGTCGGCTAGAATTTAAGCTTGACTAGTGCCTCTAGTTGTAACTTTGTCCAGACTAACTAAGTAATATCGATATAGGCAAGAAAAAAAAAAAAATCGAATAAACCTTTATTTACCAAGTGCTGGCTGTTGTCTTGCGATCATCCCCCACTAATTCTTACTGTATCTGAAATAAAAAGAAACGAAAACGAACAGTATGTTTGGTTATTACGTCAATTTCATGAACGCTTTTTTATCGAGGTACCTCGAGACCGCAACTGATAATGTGCCATTTTGTACAAGTTCAAGTAAATATATTACTACGTATGTGTATCGGACGGAAAAATTTATTTTTCTTGAGGAAAAGAAAAATGCATGATCTTTCTTTTGCTTTACGCCTTTGAATGCAGCCTATTGTTTGCGCAAACAAAGCACACCGTAACATCAACAGGAATAAAATGTTACTTTTAAGTAGCTACATGCATGTCATAAGTTTATTTCATTTTTGCGAACAGACGAGTTCGGTTAGTCTAAAAATAAGGAGGAAAGAAAACTCGGCTCTCTTTTGTTGAAACTGTATATTAATTACATCGTTACTATATATTATATTTTTCCTCTGTTAATTGTCTATTGATGGCGCTGCACCTATCGTACAGCTATCATTTATCGCGCTTCGCACATGAATCCCTCGACAGGCCCTTCTCCTTACGAATTCAACGAACCCTTTAGCTCGCCGATAAACTGCTCGAATTGCAAATTGAATCGAGTTTTCGAGCTACTTCAGTTACTTCAGTCTTGAACGCGAGAACGTGTTTGGAAAAAAAAAGAACAAAAAACACACGCGAAAATATATCGAGTAAGACGGGCACCGATCTTGCGATATATAACAAAAATGGATCGATATGATCTCTCAGCTAGCTTGATCGCGATCTCGTCGTGTATCTTTTATCGTTCTCTCTTCAGAAGTATCTTGGAACGTTAAAGTGTGTTATCGGTCGTTTTAGCGACGATGCCAAGCGATACGAAGCAACCACATGCGAAGCGACTGTTCCTCAAATATTACATCGATTTCTTTTTTTTTTTTTTTTTCTTCTTCTTCAACTTAATCGCTATATGATATGTATCGAGTTCGCCATATGTTCTCGTCATGCACATTTCCTATGTTCTCCGGGTGGGTAATGATGAGCGGGTGAAAAGCTATGCTCAGAAGGAAGAAACAAAAGAAAGAAAGAGAGAGGGGAAAAAAGAATACGTCGCGTGAAATATCAATAGACGATGGAAATTGAAATTAGAATCCACCGTGTGTTGTTTTCGATCGTGTGGCATTGGCCAATGCCTACACCAGCCAATGGAATACGTAGCGATGAATCCCGATGACGTTCTTCGCTTTCCCGTCGCATTTCGCTGTTTTCAGTTCTCGTAGATTATCCTCTGACTGAAACTTTTCATCTCTTAACAAGTCTAACTAAGGTAGGAAGACTTCGAGTTAAACGTCGTTGATGTATTTTGTCCCATTGGTAGCGATCCGCGATGCTGCTTGCCGCAAATCGTACGATTATTACAATAGATAGTTGTTGAAGAACGCGAAACAAAACACCGATGATATACGGTTGTATTTATTTCGAGCACGCCTCTCACCGGATCTCGTGTAACAAATCTAACAGGCTTGACAACCATTTTTCCTTTTTTTTTCTTTTTTTTTCCCACGAAAGCAAAGCGCCAGAAGCACTCGCCTTGCGCGACATCCAACGAAATAAAATCACATTTAAAGAATTTGAGAATCATTTGAGAATCCTGCGATGACGAATTTCACGAATTTCTTGCGTTAGATCTATCTATCTGTGTTTACGATTATTCGACATTCGTTAACATTTCGATAATTAATTCGATAAATGATAGAATTGTATGTGTATCGTTGCTAGAAAGCTGTGTGTGCATAATTGTAGCAAAACAATGAGGCTGAAACCACGTTGTTTCCTGCGTCACACGTATCATCGCGTATTCTAATGGTAGCTAATCGTGCGTATGGTCCGCTATTGCCCTAAGTCTATTTCGATTTCGGTGGAAGGTGTCCTCGAAAATCGGTGTTCATCCAAGGGGAAAGGGGATCCGAGAGTGAGAAAACGAAATACTTTTGTGACACATGCTCATTCCGGCGCACACACTTATGATTAACAACGTAATCGTGCAACGATTATGCAACGATACTGAGCTAGAAAGCATTCTGAGATGCATACAACGCTATGCCTTACGATTTATTAATTTCATTGAAGGTACAACATTATGTATAGCTTGTGCCTCGGGAAACGAGATTCCGCTTCGTTTAGGCTATTGTTCGCACATTTACCCGAACCAAACGATCGAAACACAAACGCCATCGAGTGAAGAACACTCTTCGAGGTTCAACGTTCGATTCACAACTCATGCTCTCCTTGTAGATTTGCGTTCAATTCGAATCGCCCTCGAATCGAGCTTTCACTTTGTGTCACACAAGGTCGAATTGAGTGCGTTTAAAGCGATTACATTTATTTATTTATTTTTTTTTTTCTTCACTAATTGAAACTAATAAGTAGTAAGAAAATAATTGATTGGCTTGAGAATTTCTCGATGTTGCTTCGGGCAAATGCGCAACGTTCGATAGTCACGAAGACTCTCCCAGCAAATAATGGTCGGGCCATGCTCTCTATCATCATCACGGACCCACTTAATCATCTTCCATTATCAACAATATCATACATCTATCACGGGTAAACGTGTTCTCCTCTGTTTACATAGTAAAACAGTATTCGATTTAAACTACTCGATAGTCTACAAGTAATTACAAGTACGTGTGAAATGTTTTACAGATACAACACGCAACGAGCAACGTTCAGCCTAGAAATGGAAAAACAACGAACGAGCGAACGAGAGGAGAGAGCACTCCCGTTAATAATACACACGCGAGAGAAACAGAGAGAGAGAGAGAGAGAGAGAGAGAGAGAGAGAGA